AAAGGAAGGAAGAAAGGAAGAGAGGGAGGGAGGGAGGGAGGGAGGAAAGGAAGGAAAGGAGAGAGGGAGGAAGGAAGGAAGGAAGGAAGGAAGGAAGGAAGGAAGGAAGGAAGGAAGGAAAGGGAGGGAGGAAAGGAAGGAAGAAAGGAAGAGAGGGAGGGAGGGAGGAAAGGAAGGAAAGGAGGGAGGAAGGAAGGAAGGAAGAAAGGAAGGAAGGAAGGAAAGAAGGAAGGAAGGGAGGAAAGAAGGAAGGAAGGGAGGGGGAAGAAAGAAAAAAGAAGAACTAAGGAAGGGAGGAAGAAGAGTGTGTGTCGTTGTGAACATAGCCCTGGGAGCTGCAGTAGAAGGGCTAGCCCACCCACTCACTCACTGGCTCGCTCCGCAGGTAAAGCACTGGCCATGTAAACACGTGGGCCCAGTCAGATCTGTAGATCCCACATTGAGAAGGTGGATGTGAAGACACAGTCTCAGCATGGAGGAGAGGTGGGGGTGAGGAGGCTCAGTGTCCAGGGGCTGAGGCTCAGCTTGAGGGATGCTGGCTCCAAGGGAGATCTGAAAGGATGGCAGCTGAGGTGACCTTGGGCTTCCACATCCGGGCACCTGAGTGTACATGCTCCCGAGTGTGTGTGTGTGTGTGTGTGTGTGTGTGTGTGTGTGTGTGTGTGTGTGTGTACAGAGAAGCATCTGAGTGTGTCTGTTTTGGTTTGGGTTTTGATTTTTCACATCTTGCCCTGAGGCCTTGCACTCACCCTCATTCACCCTTGTCACTCGAGCAGGCGTTGTTCTGTCAGAAAACCAGCCCGAGGGCATTGTGTCCACCTCCCCAGGCATGAAGTCAGAGAACCACGCCTCCCGGGGTCATGTGCCAGAGCCCAGGCCCGCAGACCCGGGGCAGCAGGCCACCGTGACAGGAGGGAAGGAGGCCCCCTGTGCCCCCGGCCAGCGTCCCCGCCGTGGCTCTGAGTGTGGCCTGGGGGGCCCCGCAGCCCCAAGGATGCCTCGCCTGTCGCTGTCACAATCTGACGTGTCCATCCAGCCATGGGGCGGGTGCCCAGCTCTCATCCCACAGCCTGGGGGTTCGCCTGGCCCCGGCAGGCCCCAGCCACCTGAAGGGTCACCCCACAATAGCCTGGGCAGCAGCCGCTGCGAGTATGATACAGTCCTGGCCCGCACGCCCGTCACACCTGTCACACCTGGCCGGGCCCAGGAGGCCACCAGCTCGGATGGCGAGGTGGCAGTGACCCTCGTCGACACCTCCCAGCCCGGGGACCCCCCAAGTCTGCACGAGCCTGTCAGGATAGTCGTCACTGTGAGCAGCACCCCAAGCTCCGGGAGTGAGCTGGACAGCACACTGCATTCGAGGGTGACCAGCTCGGACAGGCTGGATGGAGAGCCTGCTGGAGACCCTGGGCACGCCCAGATCCCTCTGATCACCCTCCAGCTAACGGAGGACGGAGCAGGAGGGACCGAGGACACGGTGGCCGTGGTATGCTCCACCCAGTGTCCTGGGCCCTGCTCGTGTGACACCCGGGGACCAGGCACTGCACCCACTCCGCCCTCGGCCCATGTGAACCCTGAGGCTGGCGAGAGCAGGGAGGCCCAGGCCAAGCTCGACCCGGCCTCCTGTAGGGGCAGCCATGAGAAGAGGCACGCGCGTGTGCTCAGCGTGGACAGCGGGACCGACGTCTTCCTGAGCAGGAGCACCCGGGAGGTGGCGAACGAGGGCGAGAAGCCCATCCCCACGTCCAAGTCAGACCTGGAGGCCAAGGATGGACACACCCCACCCGAGTCCAACTTCCTGGAGTTTGTCTCCCTGCTGGAGTCCATCAGCTCAGCCAAGGTGCCTGAGGCAGCTGTGGGGACTGGAGTGCAGGTGGGCGTGGAAGGTGAGCGTGGAAGGTGATAGTGGCAGTCTGTCCTCCACCAGTCTTGGGCACCAGCTCTCAGGGGGCATTTTGTTGCTGTGTGTGTGTGTGTGTGTGTGCATACCTGTGCACGTTAATGTGGGTGCCTGTGTGTCCTGTGTCCCTCACATGGATAGAGGTCATACTTACTGCTGTTGGGCCCTATTTGCAAGACCCCAGGAGACCACCAGGAGTCCAGTCCGTTGCAAAACACCTGAGAATCTTTTCATTACAAGCTATAGCTTGGGCTCACACACCTTCACCACCGAAGGCATTGAGAGCCGAGAGCCCCATGCTCATGGTAGGTAGGTGGTCTAAAGATTCCAGTCCCTCCCAGAGTCTTTAAAGCAGGGGCATTCCTGCCTGGCAAGCATCTTTTGTTTGAAACACAAAAGGGGATGTTGCATTTTGAATTGATTGGCTATAGGAAGGACCCAAACCACTAACGGTCTGGTCTGGCTTCCCTTGTTTGGTTGTCCTAGGGGAGAGGGGCTGGTTTCCTAGCAACTGTATCTCTAGTGGACAGGAAATAATGCAGTTCAGTTAGTTCTTCCTTGCAGGTGGACATGGCTCCACCTGTCTGGCCCTTTTTAGGCTTGTGCTTTAAACTTTAAACCAACACCTAAAAAAACAAAACAAAACCTAATTTTTAATTCTTTGGTCTCTCACTGTGTGTGCTGCCCTGGACTGTGGTGAGCTGCCCTTGGCCAGAATGCCTGGACGTGGCTCACAGTCTCGCTGCCTAAGGCTTTAGACTGTTAGGCTGCACACAATGAGACGCTTCTAGGGCAAGACCTGAGTGTGACACGTGTGTGTGTGTGTGTGTGCACTGTGTCCTGGCTCTTCCCCACACACAGCCATGAGGGCTGTGTGCTCTGAACTGTGCCATGTCACCTGAAGGCATGCAAGCTTCCTCTTGCAGTGCCATGCTGCTGCTCAGAAGGTTCTGGGTCTTGTCGTGATTCCATATTCTAGTGTTGGGTCGGGGAGGCCTCACCTGCATCGGCTCACACCACAGGAAACGTGAGGCTCTATTCGGGGGTGAGGAGGTGGAGAGGCTGGCTTCCATAGGGGCCATGGGTGTTTGTGTCCAGGGAAAGGAGCGGTGGTCTCACTCTGTTTCCACCAGCTCTTTGGCGTTGGTGACAGGCCCTCTGGGTGTCAGCACCAGGCATATATTCTGTTACAGAATCACTGTGTTGCCGAGGGTGACTCAGTTGGCAGGCTGTTTGCACGTGAGCATGAGGACCCGAGTCTGACCCCCAGAACCACAGAGGGAAGAACCCACCAGGGCAGTGAGCATCTGTGATCCGGGCTGGGTAGACGGAGGCGGGATGCTGGGTAGACAGAGGAGGGGGATCCTGGGGACCCAACGAGCGGCCTGCTCTAGAGTCCATGAAAGAGTCTTGAAAGCAACCCAGGACAGCACCTCGTATTGACCTCTGGCTTTCAGGTGCACAGACAGGTGTGCAGGTGTACACACACTCACACATATACACACCAGCATACACACCAACACACGTCTTATTTTTTCTACAAATTGTTTCAGCATGTGGAAATTTCAGTTCTTCCTGGTTGCACACACAGCAGACACTCTGTAGTTCCTGACTCATGCCAGGCCAAGTCTTGAGCCCTTTATTTGTGATGGATGGCAGGTGTGCCCATATCTCCTTAACGGACGGTCCTCGCTCACTGCCACAGTGCCAACACCGGCATCGGTTATCAGTGCCGAGACTTCTAGAGTTCTTGAATTTGAACATGGGTGAATCTTGCAGCAACTTGCTTCTCCCCCATGCAAACTGACGCTTTAGATAAAGTCAAGGCTCAACACTCCTCGATGCTTTTCCCCTGATGAGACCACAAGCGCCCATCTGGGCCCCGGGTCCCTGCATGTCCTGGCAGGGTCATTTTCCAGGGCAGCAGTTTCCCCTTTGACAAAAATGATGGCCCCAAACAGGAGTCACTCTGTCTCCTAGCTTTAACATCCCACAGTGCTGTGTCACTGGCTTCGTCATGTTGGTGTCTACACCAAGCACATGCATGGGGAACTGGCTGTGACATGCAGGCTGTGTTTGCTCAGCTGAGAGAAGCTCTCTGCTCTCGGCTCTTGGCTCAGGTCCCTACTGGCCGCTGGAGTGGATCCCCCAGTTCTGTTAAGTTTCAAACTGGTGGCACACAAAGCAAAGGCACAGACATGTTTGAGATGAGAGTTCTCCTACCTTTATTTTTGCTCGTTTGTTTGTTTCTGTCTCGGAGTTTTTGCGGAGCCCAGGGGAGTCTCTGAGTCCTGCCTTCCACCATGTGAGTCTCAGACTGTCGCCCTCACATTGGTGGCTTCACCCAGGAACAGTCTCACCAGTCACATGTAGCCCATGCTGGCCCAGAGCTCACAACGAGGTGGGAGTGACCTTTGAATTTGAAGAGTCCCCTCTGCCTGAGCCACACCTGCACGCTCAGCCCTTTCAGTGTGTGAAACAGGGCCTCATGTAGCCCAGGCTGTCTCCAAGCTAGCTATGGAGCAGAAGATAACCTTAGACCCCTGCGCCACATGCCTCCACCTTTTCCAGTGTTGGGTTGATGTGCTGGCTTCCCTGTCCCCTCTGAACACTTTATTTGATTTGTCTTCTTGAGACTGTCTTCTTCTCAAACTCCTCAGCCGAATTCCCACAGGGAGGTGTGATGTGGTGAGTTGTCCTGCTTCTGCAGCTGTGATGAAGAACCTGGTCAAAGGTGGCTTTGGGGAGACAGGGTTTGTGCTTCTTACAAACAGTTCCAGGTCATAGTTCACCACTGTGGGGCATTCAGGCGGGAAGACAAGCAGCCAGTTATGTCACACCCACAGCCGAGAGCAGAGGGAAGATGTCTTGGGGCTTCCCTTGCTGTGAAGAGACACCATGACCATGGCAACTCTCATAAGAAAAAACATTCCACTGGGGCTGGTCCACAGTTCAGAGTTTTAGTCCGTCACTGTCACTGCGGGAAGCATGGTGGCACACAGGCTTGGGGATGCACAGCAGGCCCTGCACTGGGGAGGCAGCTGAGTCCGACACCTGGGTCCTCAGGCAGCAGGAAGAGATGGTGACACACTGGCCCAGCTTGAGCTTCTGAGACCTCAGAGCCTGCCCCCAGGGACACACTTCCTCCACCAGGGCCTCCTGACAGTGCCTGTGGAGGCCGGCTCATTCAGACCACCACAGAGAATGAACTCATCCCTGCTCTCCCTCCACTCTACCTTCCCAGAATCCTCTGCTCTCAGAGTTTGGAAGTCCAGGCCCAGAACTTGTGCCACCCACTCTCTGAGTGGGTCTTCCTGGCCATTAAAGCTCCAAGGTAACAGCGTTTTTAAAGGGAAAAACTGCAAGCAAGGGCTTCCAAGCCTTAGTGTTACATGATTGGACAAAGGGTAAAGGAATGAAATGCACTTGGACCTAGTTGGTTGACAGCATCTGGCTAAACCACAGAGAGGAACAGCTTGCCAAGAGGAGCACTGTGACCCTGGGAACAACTGATGTTTTCTTACAGGACCCCGTCTTCATTGATCTGCCTCAGTTGCTGTGTCTAGCTGCAAGCTGCTGAGAACATTCTGGGGGTTTTGTTGTTGTTGTTGTTGTTGTTGTTGTTGTTTATTTTTTCAGATCTTAATGGTGGGAACCAAGGTAATCCAGGGACAAGCTAACCTTAGATGGAATCTGAAAAAGAACACAGAGTTAGTTCTGCTAATTTAACCCTTTCATTCCCCGCCCCTACTTGTAACTATGGAGGCCAATCTTGGACTCCTCAGAGGCCTGACTCCTCAATATTGCATGGATGACACTGGGACCTCATCACCTCTGTCTAACAAAGGCAATCAAACTATTCAATATGCAGAGGGTAAGCACGAGTAACAATATCAGCAAGGGTCTGTTAAGGCAGATAACAAAGTAGTAAACCAAGGGGAAGCACTAACCCAAGATTCAAGCCAGCTTTGGCTTGCTTTGTACTCTTTTTCACATTTAGCCAGGTTGTCCCTAACCTTCACCAAGGAGAACTATTATGTCAGGATTTAAACCATCCTCTGGAATCCTCTTTCCAGTGTCTCTCCAGCCTTTTTGCTATTTTTGCTAAGGATTTCCTAATCATTCCCGAGTGATTTACATAAAAACAACATTTCTCTCTAAGGATGGCACACAGCCCGTCCTGCTGTAAAAGACAACAGATCTAAGCCCCTCTGTTCTGCTATTTCTGCCAGGGAGTCAACAATCTTTCTAAATGTGTGATTGAGTCCTCAAGGCATTGAATATTTTTATTAGTATCTGCCTTTAAGCTGTTATAATTCTGGCTTTGTACACCCACTGCTGCAATACCAGTTCCTGCTCCAGCTAAGCAGGTCCCCAAGACAATAGCTGATGTCAGGGAGCCCCTTTTGACTTAGCGTTTCAGCCTGTTAGGTGGGATTATGGGCAAAGGTCTCATCTTCTGAAATTGCTTCAGTTCTAACAATAGGACCATTGGTATCAAGAGCTAAGAGGGCTGACATGCCAGCTGAAGGCTGGGCAATGGGGAACCATCTAATTAGCAATCCAGTTGAAGAGATATGGAGACATCACATTGGCTGGACTGGTTTACTTCAGCTTCCAGCACTTACAGATTTCAGTTTGCAGTCCATGGCTGATCTCCGAATGGAGTCTGTCAGCCAGGTGAAAATCTGCTGAGACAAATTCAGACTAGAGACAGAAGTTAACACTTGTCTAGTAAATGGGAAAGTGAAGAATCCCAAGACCAAGGTAAAAACTCATCTGGGGTCTGTTTGAGCTACGCCAGATCCTGGTCTTCTGACTTTTTGGTTTCCTGAAATTAATATGAATTTTAGTTTACAAAAGGAAGTATATTAGTATTGTCATTGTATTGAGATCCATACTTTAGAAAAAGCAGCTAACAAGTGTTTATAAGACGGCAGGAGTAGAGTCATGCATTAAGACCTAGGAAAAGCTATGGCTTTTGGG